TATTACAATGACACCTGGAAGTGGGGGGGGGTATATTACAATGACACCTGGAAGTGGGGTGTATATTAGGCAGCAAGTGAGCATTTGGTCCCTGAAGTTGATGAATTGGAAGCGTGTAGTCCGATCCAATAGCAGAGATACTGGAGATCAGATTACTGGTTCTGATACAATGGGCACGTAAGCATCAGAACTGGACCACGGAGCAATGGAAGAAGGTGGCCGGGTCTGATATACATCATGTGGATGGCCAGGTGCATATGTGTCACATGACTGGGGAGGAGATGGGACCAGGATGCATTATGGGAAGGAGACAAGCCGGCGGAAGCGGTGTGATGCTTTGGGCAATGTTCTGCTGGGACACCTCGGGTCCGGCCATTCATGTGGATGTCACTCAGACACGGACCACCGACCTAAACATTGTCCCTGACCTTGTCCCCCCCCTTCATGGACACGGTATTCCCTGTGATGGCAGTGGCCAGGGCCGTCTTTAATACTGATTGGGCAAACTTTTTCTTTTGCCCCCCCAACCGGCAAAATTTCTCTCACCTCCCCAAAATCCCCCCCAAAAAACAAGAGCTTCACAGCAATAAAATGCATATTAAAAGGTGTTTAAAAGTAAATATTATTAAAAAAATTATAATTATGTAACACACTCAAAAAAATGACAATTAATATTACTAAACCCATTTATTTTATTTCCTTCCGGAGCATTTATTTCCATTTATTATTCTTAATACACACCCATAATAAACAGAAAAATTAAATCTATAATAATACTACTAAACCAATTTATTTATTTTATATATTTTTTTAAATTATTAGCCCAGCAGTAAATTAATTTATATATTTATTTACATTAATGAGTTAATGTACAATTATTTGCTCTTCCTTTGCCCTGGTGGTGTAGCGGGTAGCCCAGCAGCTGCAGGCATCAGAAAATGCAACCACATCCTCCACAGTCCTATTATATAATTGTTTAAAAATATACTATTTATAAATGATTGCCCTTGCCCAAGCTGGTTAATGATTACTGCCTGGCCTGCCAGTGCCACAAAGTGCCCAGCTCTCACCTGCCTCAGTCTTGTGCCAGTCTCTGCCTCAGTCTTGTGCCAGTCTCTGCCTCAGTCTTGTGCCAGTCTCTGCCTCAGTCTTGTGCCAGTCTCTGCCTCAGTCTTGTGCCAGTCTCTGCCTCAGTCTTGTGCCAGTCTCTGCCTCAGTCTTGTGCCAGTCTCTGCCTCAGTCTTGTGCCAGTCTCTGCCTCAGTCTTGTGCCAGTCTCTGCCTCAGTCTTGTGCCAGTCTCTGCCTCAGTCTTGTGCCAGTCTCTGCCTCAGTCTTGTGCCAGTCTCTGCCTCAGTCTTGTGCCAGTCTCTGCCTCAGTCTTGTGCCAGTCTCTGCCTCAGTCTTGTGCCAGTCTCTGCCTCAGTCTTGTGCCAGTCTCTGCCTCAGTCTTGTGCCAGTCTCTGCCTCAGTCTTGTGCCAG